ATTCTGATTTAATTTAACAAATCACAAATTTACTTTAAAAAAATAACTAATTATAATTAAATCAACCAATTTTTGATATTCTGTTCTAACAAAGTAAAGTGTAACGAAGAGCAATTATAGATACAATCAATAGTTAATTTTGGGCTTAAAATATAATTTTTTTATTGACAGAAATGTAAGAAAATAATTTAAAAATCGATAAAAGAAGTATTATAAAATATTAAACTTCAAAAAAAATTTCATTAGAAAATATAAGAAAATAAGAAAAATGAGAATTACAATTATCAGAGAACTTGAAAAAATTTTTTTTTTTAAATTATTACTTATAAACCAACACATACACAAAAACTACAAAGAAAAAACGTTAAATCGGGTCTTACTGTACAAAGAAAATCAAAATTTTATTTGTAAATTGAAAACAAAAGAACATTTTGAGAAAATGAAACAAGTGAATTGCTTTTCTTAAGTAAAAAATATATATAACTAAAGACCATTTTCTTCCTAACAATGATTAGCTATTTTATTATTAATTTAAAAATATTGTGATTTTTTTAAGTTTAAAAAAATCACAATACTTTAATTATTAATCTATTTTAAATTTAAGAAGAGAAGGAGGAGGAGGAGAAAATAGACGAAGAAGAAAAAGAAAATGAAAAGAGGAAGACGAGGAAAACAAGAAGAAAGGAAAAGAAAAAGATAAGGAGGAGGAGAAAACAGAAAAAGAAATGACGAGAAGGAGAAGAAGAAGAGAAAGAAGTACAGGAAATGAGTAGGAGTAGGAAGAGGGGGAAGAGAGGAAGAAGTACAGGAAATGAGGAAGATATTGTGAAGAGGAAGAAGTACAGGAAATGAGGAAGATATTGTGAAGAGGAAGAAGTACAGGAAATGATAAGGAGTAAGAAAGAAATAAAATATTATTTCGCTTTTTGTTGTTTGTTAATAAATTCTAAAAACTGTATTATCTTTATCTAAAACCATCTAAACATATTCATGTTTTTCGACTATAATATAATAAATAAATTCTTTTAAATTCTTTATTTAAATTAATTAATTTCTTAATTGAAAAACTAAAATAAAATAAAAATTATAATTAATAAGTTGTATCAAAAATATATTTTTTAGAGTAAATTCTGAAGCATTAGAAAAATTTAAATCTTAATTAATATATTTACCTTTAAGAATAATTTTTTAAAAATCAGTGTAATAATAGTTAATAATATACTGATAAATAAATATATTTATTTATTTTAAAATTTTAACTGTTAATATTTTAGACTTTTCAGGTTTTAATTAAATTCAAACCTTTCATTTACTTATTAAGATTTATTTTAAAGCCTTAAATTTAATTTAATTTAAATTCGAACTGTATACAGATTAAATTTAAACTTTAAAATAAACCTTAAGCCTTTTAAACCTTAAAACATTTAATTTAATTTTAAAAAATCAAAAACATTATTTATTTTTTATTTTTTAATATATAGGCCTATATATATAATTCTTAAATAAATAAATAAAATGTAAAAAATATATTAGATGCTTTTAAATTAAATTTTAATATTTTATCCAATTATTTTAAAAAGCAAAGAATAAAGTATTTGAGACACTCTTAAACAATTATTTAATATTTTATACATTAATAATGTTTATTTCATCAAACAGTCTCTAGTCTTAAATAAAAATAAATAAATAAGTATAAATTTTGAATAAGTATTTAAGAAAAAAATAACAAATATAATTAAATGAATACAAAAGGACAGTTAACAAGCGCCAATTACAGTAATATGCATTTCTTTAAATATACGCTTATTGACAATAAAGTTGGATTGAAATTGAATTGCATACCAGACATTGATACCAAAATACCTTAAAATTGCTGCCCAGAATCCTATAGAAAGGATCGCAAGATCATGTTCACAATTTTCAGTGTACCTATTTTGAAGGTATTGTCTACTCTTGAGTGGACACGGTTAGCATTACTAGCTAATGTTTTATTCTGGGGAGCCACAGTAGGTCACTCCTATTAGTAATATGAGGAACAGCGACGGAACAATACGTTCGGCAAATCATGCGATTTTATATGTTGCCTTTCAAGGCAAAGTTGGCTGCAAACGGCCATTTTCCAGTACGATAATACTCGGCTACACACAGGTAGGATTTCTCAGGGNTAAAAAAATAAAAATTTAAATATAGATTTAATAAATAAATGCTTAAAATAGGTATTTTTTCATGTTTAAATTACAAATATTTATTTTAATAAATAGATTTAAAATTAAAGAATTAAGAAGTAGCAAATAAAAGATATATTTTTAAAATTATTATATTAATTTTTTAATAAAAGTACGTCAAATTTGATGCGATTAAGATACTTTTGAAAGGATTAGATCAATTTTAATGCAAGAATTTTTCCATTTTTTTTGAGTTCTTTTGAATAAAAACTGTGAAAAACGATTAATCAAATAGTATAAAAATTAGAAAAAAATTAAATTTAAATATTCACGATTTAATTTGAATTAATTCAAAAAATACATTAAAGTTATTTTTTAATTATAAAAACTAAATCAAAATAAATTATGTAAAAATAATCTATATATTTCTATTAATTACTTTAAAATTCTAATAAATAAACATTAAGTAATATTAACGATTTTCTAGAAATAAATTCGATTTAATTTATATTAAAATTAAACGAAACCATTAACAGCGAGTGAAATTATTCATTGTAATTCTAGTTTGTCAACTAGGGGTTCGCGATCCCTCGAGTTGCTCAAATCGTATTTATTTATTATACGATGTTCTTTCAATGCAAAAAAGGTTGGTTAATACTTTTTAAAATAAGATTACGCGAAAATGTGAATATATAATAGCTTAGAATATTATTGATTTTTGAATTAAATTAATATTTTATACATAAAAGTAATTCGGTAAAATTTGATATATAATTTATTACGTTACGCGATAGCTAATTTGTTTATCATTATAATTTTTAAAAAATTATATAAGTAAATGTATTATATAAAACAGCATATAAAGAATAAGATTTAGAAAAATATATATTTATTTTCACTAAAATTTTGTTTAAAAACATGTACTGAAATATAATAAATATTCTATAAATTGCTTCAAACTGTATATATATATATATATAATTACTATAAAACATTAACAAAATTAATAATTTAAAAAAATAAATTCAACTTAATTTATATTAAAATTAAAAAGACACTGGAAAAGTTTTAATTTATTCATTAACATGAATTCACAAGCAGTAGGTCGCGAACCCTTCAAGTAGCGCAAATCATATTCATATATTATATCTTGATCTTTCAATACAAAAAAGATTGGTTCATACATCTACAAATGAGATTTTAGGCAAAATTTAAATATATAAGAGATAAAATTTTATTTATAAATCGAATAATTTTATGAATGATTATATAAAAATAATTTTATAAAGTAATAAAATTTTTATATTAAATAAACGTAAATATCAAATTTTAATGATAAAAAATCAATAAGATATCAAGATATAAGAAGAAAATTTGATTTTATACGATTTATTTACATACAAAGTATTATGTAGGATATATATACATATAAGAAGTGTAGATTATAAGAAATATATTTTGTTTGATGTCTAAAGATAGCGTGAAGAAGAAATCAAACATTGACTATATAAAAAAAACAAGAGTGGAAAGTGGAAACAGAGGAATGAAAATATCAAAAATATCAAAAAAATTACCTTTTATAGGAATAACTCTTGCGTGAAAAAAATCTTAAAAATACATAAATTCACTAATTCAAAGCATGCAAAATCATACTTGACAATTGTTTTAAATTTAAAAAATAAATAATATTTAATCTAAGAATAACTTGAATATAATTCATTTAAACGAGCTATTTTATTAATTATCTTAAGATTAATTAGCCAGCTCTACACTTTGAAGCATCACTTGGTGGGAAAATATTGAAGTAATTCCTCAACGGTAGTCCTTTAATTGGATTTAATATATCAAATATTTTGTGTAAAGTTTTCGTTAAAAACTAAAAATTAATGAATAATTATAAGACTAAATCTATATTGATTTGGTTTTAAATCAAAGTTTTGGCATAGTTTAATAGGAATAATGCGTTTTAAGAAACGATGCCAAAAATCTGTTAATTAACATTAAAAAATTTATGTTAATACGTGAAAAGATTAGATAGAAAAATTTAATTATTTAAAAGGAAAAAAAACTGTGCGTTTATACAGTTAATTAAGTTTAAAATATATTTTTAAAAATTTACAATAATCTATAAGTAATTTTTATATTTTTAATTTGTAATCCTCGAATACAAAAGCTTAAATTCTACAATTTAATTTAATGGAAAAGATAGAAAGGATGAAAGGTCTTGCTTTGTTTCAAGTTATTTTTAGAAAATAAATGGTTAAAATAAAACGAAAGCAAGTAAGAAAACTCACGAGATGGCCCATTTTTTCTAAATACTCGAGTTTACATTGAGAATAATCGATCTGCTCCCATTTTCCAATCATAGAACAGGAACGATAAAGTGTCCCCAGATATTCTGATGGACACGAAGCAACTGCTAAAGTTCCAGCTTCTGTTTCATTCCACAAAATATNTTAATAAGTAAATATCTTAAAATAAAATTTCAAGAATTAATTTATACATTTTTTTTTATTAAACTTAGATATTAATAAATTCAATAATTTAATAAGATTCTTGCATTTTAAATATTTGAGTAATTGCTATTATTTTTATTTATATATATATTCCTCATTAAATTTAACATATCAGATTACTTAAATATATATTTTTTAAATTTAATACTTCTTTATTTTAAATATGCCAATAACTTATATTTTTAAAATTATTTTTCATCCTTCTGCTTAATTTATGAAGATAAAATGGATCAATTTGTACTCAGTAATTGCTTAAAAAACTAATTTTAAGTAGTTATTATTAATAAATTAAAAGGGGAAAAAGATAATGAGAAATTACTTGAACATATTTTCGATCTTTTTCTTTTTTTATCTGAACTTCTCCATTGGATTTTAATATATCATTTAACATATTCAATGCCTGGAGTCTATCTATAGGGCTGACTAAGGCCTTATCTTTTAAATAATCAGCAAATTCACTTGCTAAATGCCTTAGACCATCAAAATGGTTCTTTTCAATGTGGTAGGTAATCTAAATATAATTAAATAAAATTCAAATAAGTAGAAATAATTGACATTTGTTAATTCTAATAAATTCTCTAATTTAAATTCTCATTAAAAATTAATTTAATAATTACATTAAAAAATAAATAATATTTAATCTAAGAATAACTTGAATATAATTCATTTAAACGAGCTATTTTATTAATTATCTTAAGATTAATTAGCCAGCTCTACACTTTGAAGCATCACTTGGTGGGAAAATATTGAAGTAATTCCTCAACGGTAGTCCTTTAATTGGATTTAATATATCAAATATTTTGTGTAAAGTTTTCGTTAAAAACTAAAAATTAATGAATAATTATAAGACTAAATCTATATTGATTTGGTTTTAAATCAAAGTTTTGGCATAGTTTAATAGGAATAATGCGTTTTAAGAAACGATGCCAAAAATCTGTTAATTAACATTAAAAAATTTATGTTAATACGTGAAAAGATTAGATAGAAAAATTTAATTATTTAAAAGGAAAAAAAACTGTGCGTTTATACAGTTAATTAAGTTTAAAATATATTTTTAAAAATTTACAATAATCTATAAGTAATTTTTATATTTTTAATTTGTAATCCTCGAATACAAAAGCTTAAATTCTACAATTTAATTTAATGGAAAAGATAGAAAGGATGAAAGGTCTTGCTTTGTTTCAAGTTATTTTTAGAAAATAAATGGTTAAAATAAAACGAAAGCAAGTAAGAAAACTCACGAGATGGCCCATTTTTTCTAAATACTCGAGTTTACATTGAGAATAATCGATCTGCTCCCATTTTCCAATCATAGAACAGGAACGATAAAGTGTCCCCAGATATTCTGATGGACACGAAGCAACTGCTAAAGTTCCAGCTTCTGTTTCATTCCACAAAATATTATCAGAAAAATCAGGCAAACATCTACCAATTGATGAATTAACACTGTCATTAAATTTCTGAGTTTTTTCAATTAGTTTATTATTATTATTATTATTATCAGTATCTCTAGTCAATGATGAAAGGTGTTTATTAACGATCCAAGTCTGTTGTTGTTGTGTTTTATCTTCCAAATTGTCATCGTCATTATCATCATCACCCATAGACGAAAGTTCGTGATATGTATTAAGAGGGGGAACGGTTGAATGCATGACAGACTTCGTGATAAAAGAAGTCGAGTGAGCAACAAATGGTGGTCTTTGATGATTCGATTCTGTTGTTACTAAAGTGTTGCTTTCTATGTGGAAGCTTGTACGAAATCTTGATTGAATGTTCCTACTAATCCTATTAGCAGTTGTTTGTACAGAGCTGAATACATAGGAATCATCATATGTCAAACTACCAAGTTCGTGCTCTTTGTTCTCAGCAATGCTATATCCTAAACTTGTTTCTAAAACTGCACACGATAAAATAAAGAAATTAATTTTGAAATTATTCAGAAAATTTTATAATTTAATTAATATATTAATTTTTTTAAAAATTTTCTGCGATACTCACCCGCTAAATAAATAAAATGCAATGAAGAAATCATGGCTATTTATCAAAAAGTAAATGCTGTAAAATTAATAATCAAATTAATTTTCTTGTAAACTAAATGACATTTGTAAGAAATAACAAAATAATAAATTAAAAAATTCTTAATTAATATCTCTGCTGATTTTTAATAAATAAATTAATTTAATCAATGATTAGGATTTTTAATCAATATAATGTAAGAATTTCTAATAATAAATTATAAATTCCAAATTTATAATTAAAAATCTAATTTTAAAAATTCATTTTTTTAATTAAAAATTTTGATAGAATCAAATGTTCTCACGGAAATATTATTGATGTTGTAAGTACTGTATTTTATACTATTTAATTATAAAAAATTATTAGGTATTTAATTTTCGTTTAAAAAATTAATAAAAAGTGAATTTTACAGAAAAGTATAAAAAAATTTAATTTTTAAGTCTACATTTAAATATTTATTTATTTTATAAATTTATTTAAAGAATATTTTTTTAAAACTTTATTATTATATCCAATTTTAAATACTGTAATTTTAAATTTAATTATGTTTTTATTAATTTGAATCTTGTTTAAAAAGTACAAAAAATCAAAAATTCGTGTTAAGAAAGTGTGGAAATTAAATAAATAACAGAATTCTGTGACATCAATTTTTTAATATTAAAGAAAATATACAAGAACTTGATATTTTTGAAATTCAGAATCGATTTTTTTTATTATTTAGTTATTTAATAAGATTAAAAAATAGAATTTATGAATTTAAAACTTTTATATATTTTGTTATTTGGATAAAATTTTCACATGAATTGTATGAATTTTTAATTCTAAATTGGGCAAATTATTCATAGACAAAGTCTAACCAATACTTTTAAATGTCAATTTTCAGTTAATCAACTAATGTTTGGTTTCCACATTACCAGAAAAATACTCCAGAATCAGAAACGTGATGTCACTTCCTGTCTGGAAATCCCTTATTTGAAAATTTTTTTTTCCGTTTTTATACTAAACCAATTGGAGTGTGATATTTAGGTGACGTAATTTTTCAAATTTATGGCAACACTGATATACAGCTTAAGGAAATTATTTTAAAATTAAATGATTGAAGGAAAGGTTAAAACATGGTTTCGTTTGATTACTGTACTGCAACTGCCAAGAAGGGATCCAGGCAGGACTTTATGTAGGAAACTAACCCCAATTTAGGTGTTAGACAGGGAAAGGAAACCCGGAACATGTGGCCAGTGCTCTAGTGAGGTGCGAACCAATGACTAACTACTAGTGTTTTGTGGTGTTATCCACTCAGCTACTGGTGGGTAGAGAATTGAAGAATTCGTTTATGGCAGATTTTTAACTTTGTCAAATATCATATTAACAAGAAATGCAGCATTGTGAAAGTATCGTCATTCATTTTTGTTTGTCCATAGAACTTTCGTAGCTAATTTCTGTTATAAGCCACGAGAGTTCTCTGAGAAATTCTGTGTTCAATTTGTAGTATAGTGGATATAAAACAGAATGAGAATAAGAACAGAAATAGATTCTCCTAGTTTCTGGTGTGGAGACGAAACATTACTGTTCCATTTATCTTAAATAGAAATTCTTCAAATGTTATATTACAGTTCTCACCTAAACAATATATATATTTTTGTATCGGGGACTTCTATTTGATGTTTTATGTCATATTTCTTTGATTTAAAAAATTATATGGCATAAAATATTGATATATGCTTTATGATTAATTTAATGTATGCAAATTGGAATAAATTGTTTCAAGAAGGCTGGTTTATTTTCTTACGTTGTTTGGATAAAAATTTCACTAAGCAAGTTATTAAAAAAAACAGACCAATGCCTTCAGTTAATGAAGTAAAATTACTCTTTTCACTTAACACAAATAGAAATATTAAATCTCTCACCTAAACAATCTCCTAGATATGATATATTTTTATATCAAATACTTCCATTATAAGTTTTGTATCATTCTTTTGTAATTAAAAAATATGTGCCAACAAAAAACGTGTTTTTTATTATTAATAGATATTAATTATATGAAATTCATTCAGAATAATTATCTTATTTAAATTTAAAAAAGTTACCTGAATCAGTATCTTGTACATTGAAGATATTCACTGGAGTATACTGAATACAAATATACAAGAATAACGTCAATGCACAGAATACTGATGCCCATGATAGTGGTGTACAAGATTCAATGCCCATGATACTAGTGTACAAGATTCAATGACCAAAATACTATGCAGGAGATTAAATGCCCAAAATAATAATACTTTTAATGTAAACAAAAAAATATATCCATTAATTAAAAAATTATAATATATATATAATTATGTAATCATTGTCTAAGTGAATTGTATAGATCTAAAAAATTTCATAATTTCAGAAAAATTCCTGCACTGAACAACACTAAAATTAATCTAATAAATTGTATTTAATTCAAAATTGCTATTTTCCTCATAAAATTGTCTAAAATATTAAATATAATTAAAAAATAATAAATTTTTAAAAAGAACATAAGTATAGTTCAAAAATGTTAGTCATTCTAATGGTGATAACTTACTGGAGATTTATTTAATAAGAATGTTCTCTAAGAAGTTTTTGAACTCTACTGTAAAATAATAATTTTCATATGATAACAAAATAGCAAAATGTTATTTTTTTATACTTTCTCCTGCATTTATGTTATATATATCATGAAACTTTGAATATTTAACAAGGTTTGAAATTTTTATAGCTGTAATTATAATTGAATGAATCTAATCAATGGTTTTACCTGAAAATTTGCAAAGATATTAACTAGACTCAAATTTGCAAAGACTATAAACTAAATCAAAGTTACTGGTATTTTACTTATTGTATATACCTTATGAATATACATAACTTTGTTATTTATTTAAGGATTTGATTAATATTTATTTGATTTATTTGATTATATTTATGTAAGGATTTGATTTATATTCCAAAACATCTTGGATAATTTGAATTCAAGAATAATCACCCAAAAAAAATGCAATATTAGGCTTAGAGTTACTCCTGCTGGTACATATAAGATAAATAAAATAAACTGTTGTNAGCTTTATTTTGTCCAGAGTATTCTGAAGATTGTAATTTTAATTTTAGTAATCCTTTTCAACTCATATTAATTTTTTATTCCTTGCTAAAAATACCTTTTAAGTTTCTTCTTATATTATATTAATTCTTATATTCTAGTATATTCAAACTTGTTTTTTATGCTATATTCTTTAGATGAATTTGCTTTTTCACAATTAATTACAATCTACGTCAAGTTGACGTCATTAATTATAATTTATTAGACAAAAAATGAAGGTATGACGTTAAATTAACGTAAATGTATACACTATTCTGATTAAAACAAAGTTATTTTTACGTTGTGCTTGATATAAAGATTGTATATATTATTTATATTATTAATATTGAATTTATAAAAGCAGAATGTTAATTTCGGAATAAAAAATCATCTGCTCTATAAAAATTATCCATGCAGTTTTTTTCTTTTAAATTCATTGTTTATCCGATTACAAACAAGGAATTTACACCCAAAAATCTTTATTACCTAGAATATTTCTGGTTTGATTAAAGTATCTCGTCATAGTCCATTTTATTTTATCTTCTCATTTACGTCAGCTGCTTACTTTTATGAATAATAAACAGGTTAAAAAAATTATTTATAACGAAATTAATCAGGTAAAATTAATTAATTATTTTTAAAAATTTATCTAAATTTATTTTCTAATATATTTTCCCTATAAATATAAATATATATTTAAAAAGTATACACGTATAAATGTATATTGTTGATTAGTAGAAAAATTATGGAAACCTTACCTCTAAGGTATAGTAATTTGATGAAACTGTTGTATTCAATAGGGAATATATTGTGAAATAAATAATTCAAATTTTAGTGAATATAAACGTGTTACTATACAATGATAATAGAGTTTAAATGTGCTAATAGTTAAAAGTTAAAGCAAGCAGCCATGCTGCAGTGATCAAGCAGAGGTGGAGATAAATGGCGGACACGCAATGGGTTATACCAAGATGCTGGAAAACAGGGGAGATGAGGAAGAGAAAGGAAGAGCATCTACTAGAGAATGGAATAGTAGTCAATCGACAGTCTGACATTTTCAATCTTTACTCCAATTATTACACAAATATATCGAGTAGTACAAGATATAAAGTGGAAGAATGTTATAGATTTTTTATAACGTTTTCTCTTAATAAACATTTATAAATATTAATAAAAATATATATTATGTAATAAATAAATTATTTTATGCCTTGTAACATTATATATAATTATATTTAATGTTTAAATTAGTAAAAAAACTCAATTTTTAAGTAAAAATTATAACGTTTTAATTCGTTTAATTGTGAGATAAACTGTGGCATATTATTCATTAAACTTCAATTTTTAACTCTTAGATTGATGTATCAATTTAATTAATGACAAAATTTGAGTAAGTAATTGATAAAGTTTATAATTAAATTTTTTAAATTCTAGTTTGTTTTATATAAGTAAAAGGATAAATTAGATTATAATTTAAGTTGTTTAAATTTATAGAAGTGCTTGTTTTGTGGTTAACAAAGTAAAAGTTTTGTAAAAAAGTATATAGAGGTAGTATACAAAAGTAAGATGCGTCATTGAACGGATTTGATGGAAAAAAAGAAGAGATGTTACAATCGATACAACACTTCAGAAAGAAGAGGCAAACAGGATGCAATTACAGACACAACTCATCTAAGATCATGCACTTTGGAACTTTTTCTACTTCGTTTTGGTATAGATATAAACAAAGATTTTTGCCAAGAAAAATTCAATTATATAAGAGGTTTCTATGTAAATTATATTTTTAAATTCATTTAAATCTATATAAACAGCTCTCTTTATTTTCTAATAATAAGGAGATAACGTGGGAGTTATAGCTGTGTAATGCGGGTTCATCAGTAAAAACTCCTTCATTACAGTTCTATAATCGGAGTTCATCAGTACAAACTCCATCGTCACAGCTTTATAATGGGAGTTCATTAGCAAAAACTTCTTTAATACAGGGCTCAGCTCTATAATGGAGGTTCATCAGCGAAACCTCCTTCATTACAGGTCTCAGATCTAATGATGGGTTCATTAATAAATACTCCTTACTTACAGGGCTCTAATACTTCTATAAATTTTTTTCTTATTACGTTCTCTAAATATCAGTTATTATAATTTATCGAAAACATTAAAGTTATAATAAATGATTCAAATACATAATTACTTATTTAAAAATAGTAAATATCATTTATCAATTATAAATTTTCTTTGTAAATTGTAAGAAAATTATCAGTTGTAACTCATTTTTTTATATTTAATTCAATAAAATATATTAAATAGTCGCGTATTTGAGTCTTTATTTAGTACTGTTTGAAATTTAAAAAAAATTTTTTTAATTTCAAGCAATACTAAATCCACGTTAAATATTTATTGTGCTTCTTTTAATTTATTATAAAATATATTTTATAATTTATTAATTCCTGACTGTAAATATAATTTATTAAATTTAATTTAAGAATTACATTGAATAAATAAATAAAACTGTTAATTAATGTAAGAATAATAAGAAAGAAAATCCAAATCTACAATCTTTATCAATCAGCAACCGAGTTATGTAGTAATTGATTGGTTAATTAAAAAAGGATTTGGTTCGGATCTCAGTTGGGATCCGAACCGCATCCTTTGATAAACTTATTAATTAATGTAAGAATAATAAGAAAGAAAATCCAAATCTACAATCTTTATCAATCAGCAACCGAGTTATGTAGTAATTGATTGGTTAATTAAAAAAGGATTTGGTTCGGATCTCAGTTGGGATCCGAACCGCATCCTTTGATAAACTTATTAATTAATCTAAGAATAATTAGAAGAAAAATGCGAATCAACAACTGGATTATTGAAAGAACTGAGCTTAAATCTCACTTCGCATTCCTGAATAAACTGAGATCCGAACCCGCGCCTACCCGACACGTTTCATCAAATTGCTCCTTAAATTAAGAGGAATTTATTATTTTATTAATTATACACAAACACGTTTAAATTTTAAAAATAATTAAATATATTTAATAGGGAAAAAAACAGATAAATTATCAAACAGAAAATACGCTTCGTTTAAAATTAAAAATGAAGTTTTATAAGAGTAAATTTGTAGAATTTTAATAATTTAAGCAGCATTAATTAAAGAGGGAAAAACTTTTTGCTGATAAGTGAATTTTGTGTATAGCAAGTTAACTTATATAATATTTCATTAGCCTCTTAAGATAAAATTCTATTCAGTTGTGAAGATGTCATCTTGATTTGCAATCCATGTAAGTGCTTCAATTTATCTCCAATAAAATGCATTCGTAATGGTTTTCTCTTTAATAATCCAAAGGACTTTGCTTGATAGAATTGACGGTATGAAAAGGACTCGAAATCTTTTTTAGACATCAAAGAAAAGTCGTTTCTCCTTTTAGATTTTTCTACGAATTGTTCAACAAAAGTCTTTCGTATAATGATTTGAAACTTTAGAAAAATTCGATTTAATTAATATAAAACCCCTTTTTTTAGTTTATAAACTTATAAAATTTACTCCAAATCCTTAATGTTTTGTTGTAAATAAGTAGTTAAACAGACCTATTTTTGTTAATAAGTATCAATAAATTAATTAATATTAGTGTTTTGGTAAGGAAAAAATTAATTATTTTTATTTTAAAAACGTTATCTAATAATTTATAAATATATTTTAAAAATCCAGCAACGAGTTGCGTAACTTTCCAGGCAAAAAAAAAATGTTAAAATTGCACGTGGCTCCATCTTTTATGAGATTTTATTTTCAAAAAAATTTTATGTTATTGCTAATTTTAAAATGACAAAAAAAAACATGATTTTGAGAATAGAGATGAGTTTTATAAAAAATTGTAAATGCTAATAACGAGTAAAATCTTTATTAAGTCCGAGCCCACACGAGATATGACACGTGACCTCCTCTAGTTCTTCTCCCCGTCGACCTTTAACCTCGAAAATTTAACAGCATCAATGCACCTAATACACAAACTTTCCTATAAAATTTCATAAATTTTCGACAAAAGGCACAGGAGTTATAAGCTTCAAAGAGGGTAAAATAAATAGTGTCCCCACACACACATCGTAGCATCTAAACATATGGAAACCCTCCCTAAATATTTTTGGCTTTCTCGACGTTTCAAGGTGCCCTGACTACAAAAATATAAAAGTATTGGGGTCATTTTTCGACTGATCGTCATACTCTGTTCTATATAACAGAAGGAAAAATAAAAATTGATTTATCTACAAAATTTATTTTAAAAATTATTGTAACCTCAAGATTGATAGCAATCACATGAAATTTAACTTGAAATTCTTTATGTTTAAATTATAAATAAGTTGTTTTAGACAGGTTTTAAATTGATAAAATTACAATAAATAATTAATAATGATTTTATAGGAAGTAAACACATTAATTTTGAATTTTTTTTATTTATAAATATATTTAAAAAAACCCGATTTATTCACATTATTCACAGGATTTTTCTGTTGTTATGAATTCAAGATTGATTGGAATTCTGCTATACAAAATGTGTTAGAATTCATAAGAAGAATGCATTTAAGATGCAGGAAACAAGAATCATAATAATATAAATTTTTATTTACTTTTTTCTATATTTTTTACGCTTACAAACAACTCTGTCACATAATAAATAACGTTAAAAGATATGAAAAATGTAAAACATTATTCTTTACATATTAAAGAAAAATTAAAGATAACAAATATTGTTTCCCAATTAGTAGGACGCGATCTTCTGAATAATACATTAATTTACTGTACATTATTTACTTATTAAATATTTTTATAAAGTATATGAGTTAAATTTATTGATATTTAGTTTTATTTCTATGAATTTTTATTAAAAATAAATTTTTAAATAAATCAAAGACAAGTCTGTCCAAGAGGGATCACCATTTACCAACAAAAAAATAAATTTTATTAAATGACTTACCACTAAATATTAATAATATAACATTACTTATTTATAAAGATACACATTGAATTTATTATTAATATAAATTTTGAAAAAAATTAATGCTTTTTTATGTATTTTTTCATGAATTCAATTATTTTTAACGTAATTTTTACATGAATGTGTTACCAGAACTTGTAAAACTATAAACTGAATTATTCAAAGAATACTTTTAATTTACATATCTAAAAATACATGTTAAAAATGACAGAGATGTTGTGTTTATCTATGCAAAAATTTTCACTTGGTTAATTTAAATATTAACTGCTTTTCTTAATAATTATGAGCAGAATAATTTAAATAAAATCTAAGGGATGTAGTAATACATTTATCAACTCTTCATATACACTTACAACTGCTAATGAATATAATTTTCTTGCTGTTTACATTAAAAAAATGCTAATTAAATTTTGTAAATGATCTTATTTCTTATTCATAATATATCTGTAATTAAAGTAAACATAATTAATACTTAAATAATTTAGCATATTTTATCTCATGTAACATCTCATTATAGAATCATCTTATCTTCTTCCTCATCTTCTGAACTGCTCAAATAATAAATTAAATTGATCCAGTACATGTGGAAGGAGTTATTCTGCTAAAAATTAAGCTTAATTTCAGTAAAATACTAAGGAAAAATTAAAATGTCTCTATTTTCTACTTTAACTTATATTGATTTTCATTTAATAGTGATATTCACAGTTTTATTCTCTATTTTCTTATACAAATAATTAATATTATCCTCATTTAATGATTTAGTTATTACTCTTTGGATGAAGGATGATGTAGTATCATTGAAAATATTCCTATTTCTTGAATATCATAGAAATCAATATTAATATTAATGATCTTATGTCAATATTAACTTATTAGAGGGTAGAAAGATTGCTTTTTGAATCACTACTTCCTACTTAATCAATTTTATTAAAGTAGAAGTTAGTAAATATATAAATT